AAAGAAATTCAAGAAATACCTTGTTCTCCCCCCCCGCCTCCCAATTTTATTCATTTCATAACTTTTAGACATCACTTGATTGTTAAAAAAAGACCCACAAAGCAGCTTACAAATAAGATAAAATAATAGAATTGTCAATAAGAAAAATAACAATAATTTAAGACTTTCAGATAGTTAAAATAACAATAGACCAGGGGTCGGCAAACTATGTTCCCCGGGCTGGATACGGTGCACCGGTTTAGCTCCACACGGGGACTGACTGAGGGGGACGCAATGGCTTCCTACTGGCTGCAGGATAGGACTTCCGGGACGCAACCATGGCCAATAGGAAGCCGCAGATGCCTCCCCACCACCACCACCATGGCTCCAAAAGCCAGTGGGTCGAGAGCGGTGGGTGATCTGGCCTTCTGGTGGAAAAGTTTGCCTACCCCCTGCAATAGACTAAAAGCAGATGGAAACTCGCATCAACTTTCTAAACGTCTGGGTATGCAGGTGCCACCACGCTAAAATATCTATTTCTTACCAATGTGAAAGACATATTATTATGTGGCACCTGAAACGATGACAGTGTTTGAGTGGGCATATGTTAATAATAATTATTATTATAATTAAAACTTGATTTGATTGCCCTTCACCGATGGGCAAGGCAATCTCGCTTTACTCCAGTATCACCTATGGAATGCAACAGGACTAACTTCTGAGTAGGCATGGCTAGGACTCAGGGACAGGCATAAGAAAAACTGGACCTGTCATTGGTAGATAGAGAGAATTGGTGCACATAGGTTAATAGATACCCCTAATCTCCAAGAGTGGCTCAGACTGTTACATGAGTTCCAGCAATCTTTTCCGAATTTATGCAAATAAACCCTAATGCAGTATTCAAAACCCCACGCAAAATTGGAGAGAACATGCAAAGGAAGCTTATGCAAATGAGCCTGCTTTGCATAATTCCAATCACAGATTTTTGTCTGTGATCCCAAATTTCGGATGTTTTGCTACAGAGAGTTGGCTCAGTGGTTATATTTGAGAGACAGGCAGGCAGGCAGGCAGGCAGGCAACTGGGGACCAGTAGATGGAAGCATTAGTCATGTTTTTGGCAATGCAAAACTAAAAATAAATAAACACCACCAATCTGAATTGCTTTCAGAAAATACACTGATCTGAAAAAATATGCTAAAATAAATGTACAGAAGTCAACATATTTCTTCTTTGTGGGGAAAACACTTTAAGATTAGGCTGTCGTCTCATACAAAATTCTGGTATCTGGGCAGGTGCTGGGATGGACAGCCTGAGCCCTATATCAGATCTAGGGGTGGAACTGGAGGATTTTTCAGCAATTTGCTATGAGCCTAGAGGCAGAGCCTAGGAATATTTGGAACACTTGCAGGCAGAGCCCAGAATCTGGAAGCAAACACAGAGATTAACCCCAGGACAAATTCATGTAGTCACCTATAGTAAACAACAGCTCATTGACAGGGACAACCTGATCACATTAACTCATGCATAGCTTGGACTACTGAAATACACGTTATGTGGGGCTGCCCTGGGGTCTGGTCTGGAAGCTTCAGCTACTGCAGAATGCCCTGGCTAGACTGGTGATGGGAACAACCACCAGTAGTGTTAAATAACCTGCACTGGCTTCCCATCTGATACTGGGTCATGTTCATGGTTCTTGTACCAGTGTCGAAGCTGCTGGACAACTTAGGCCCAGGGTATCTTAAAGACGACCTTGCCCTGTATGTCCCAAGCTGATCACTAAGATCATCTGGGGGAGATCTAATACTGGTCCTCCGTGGCCCAGAAGCATTACTTGTGTCAATGAGAGTTGTGACTCCAGCCTAGTGGACCCAACTTTATGGAACTACAGTCAACATCCTTGCCAAAATTGAGATGTCAGGTTAAAATGATTTTACATCAAGAGGCCTTTGCATCATGAATGCTGCCCCAATGATGTTTTAATCTAAGTTTTAAACTCTGTGCTAACCAATTAACTAAACATTTTCAGTATTATTATTATTATTATTATTAAAATTTGTATGCTGCACTTCATCCGTAGATCTCAAGGAGATTCGCAACACAAAAATACAAGATAAAAGCACAAAATACATAACAACCACCACAAGCAACAACTCCCTTCCTCTCACCCCATCCCACAAAAACATTTGAAAGATTATAGGGTGTTAATCAGCCCAAGGCCTGGTTGTAGCAGAACGATTTCGCCTGGCACCTAAAGGTGTATAATGAAGGTGACAAGAAAGCCTCTCTGGTGAGAGCGTTCCACAAATGGGGAGCCACCACAGAAAAGGCCCATTCCTGTGTTGCCACCCTCCAGACTCCTTGTGGAGTGAGCACATGAAGAAGGGCCTCAGAGGATGTTCACAGGATCCAGGTAGGTTCATATGGAGAGAGGTGGTCCTTGAGGCATTGCGGTCCTGAGCCCCAAACTAGCTTAAGAGGGTTGTCTTAGCCTCTCTACTTTTCTGTCAACTAGTGCAAAAGCAAAATCTCCACCCCACCAGTTGTCTGGGTGTTCTGTTCTGAATGAGCCTTTCTTTCCTGCAGATCTGAAGTGTGAAAGATGAGGAAATGGTTAAAGCTGAAAGAAAACGGAGTGCAGCAAACTTCTGTCTTTCATTCTCTTAAAGCCATCTCCTTTTATAGCCAGATAAATGTTTGCTCTCAGCCATCTGTCAGCACCGAATGCTCAGCAATGTTAATCTAAAGTGATGAATGTGCCCTGTGGACATCCAGAAGGGTACCTCTGGGGTCATTACTCACTCTTCCCTTTTAAAGGTGATACTAGGAATTTATAACAATGTCCACCATCTTTGGGATCAAGCAAAAGGGCCTGATGGACAGTGACATCCGAGGTTGCTGTTGCCACAGAATGCTGTTGCAGCGGCAATCGCAAACCAATAATTCAGAGGACTCAAAAGACACAGGGTTACAATTTGGTCTGGCCTTTCCTTGATAGCATTGTGGGGAAGGCTGGAAAAACATATCACATTTCTAGAGGAGTACAGAGCGGGAAAGGAGACACAATACGGGAAATGGCTCAGGATTCATCTTCCTGAGAATCATAACAAACAAGCAGGTTTCTAGTCCTTATTATGGTTGCAAATATATATTTGGAAGCTTGGGGATGGGGCTCTGGTGCTCCTGGCCTGAATAAATTAATGACTTATGTTATGGAATGGAAGTTAAATTCTCAGTGCTGACATTACACACAGGCTGGAAAATTAAGCTTTCTTAGGTGTAGGATCTAGATTGTTTACATGAAAAATTATAAGCTTCCTCCCCACTTGACCTTGACCAAGCTTTAAATAAAAAAAATGTTTTTGCCAACGGGCTTTAAAAAGTCAATGGCCTTTAAAAAGAGATTCAGATACTCAGAGAAGGACTATTCCAAACCGTTTCATTCAGTCTTTTATGAATGACTTGCAGTGTTTCTGTTGGTCAAACTGTGAGCTGGTATGTATACAGAAGTTTCATCCTTTTTGCTGGCAGTTCACACTTAGTAGATACATCAGAGGTTGCCCTCAAGGAGCCCATGGGCTCAGTGGTGTACTTGAGGTCTTCCGCTGGTGCCGACAAAGTCTCTGACGCACCACACCATTGCCTCTTGGGTCATGCATGAGGTGGTGAGCGTGGTTACCCTGTTCTCCTTTGAAAAGTACATAGAGCTGAAGAAGGAAGTGGCAAGAGAGTCGCCCTTTCCAACTTCCTCTTTAATCCCTATGTGCTTTTCAAGGCTTCTTCTAGATATGACTTTTACATAGGTCCTTAGGAAATGTGAAGTGTTTGCATGGGTGTGCTCTAGCTCCTTTTCTGTTTGAGGGTGAGCAAATCTGAGGGGAAGAGGGAGAGAAATTGCCAGAGCAGGTGGTGCCAATAGTACTCGCTCAACAATCCAAATGTGCCCACAGGCCTAAAATGCCTGCCTCCCCTTGATAAACACAGAAACGCTGGATTCTGAAACACCAACTTGAAAGCTAATTTTACTGCTAGGCATCTCCCGAAATCCCCGGCCAAGTAACTGCCATTTTGAATTTTTGAAGGTTTCACAAAGTTCACATTGGAAACCTTGCCTATTGAACCTTTCCAATATTCAGGCTGCACACAGGTGTTGGTAACAAACTGCTTTACTTAACTGGGTTATATACAGCTCCCTGGCAGGACCCTAAAAGAAGGTCTAAGCTGAGAAGGAAGAGCATGGAGTCTGAGTCACACACAGCAGCATACCCTGGGGTTGGCCAGGTTTGTCCCTGCCAAGGACGCAGGCCTGGGAGGTACACAAAAATTGTGCCTTTCCACTTTGGCTCAGAGTGACTAGGAGCCCATCCGCTAACACGCTCCCTGGACTGCTCCTCTACTGCCCTGGACAGCTGGGTGCCTTTGCGGAGAAATCTAGTTTGGAGCACAAAAGGTGTTGAAAAGCAAGCTTTTAAAGTTTCTGGCCCATGGCTTTGAAGGGTGCAAGGGAGCTTAGATATGCCTCTGCTCATACATAAAGGGACTGTGCAGTTAATTCTAACACAATGGCCATGAATCATTTCAACCAGGGCTATAGCTTTTCATTTGCATCATTAGCAGATTAATCAACTAAAAGTTGAGTTCATAAAACACTGGGTACCAATATGCTAGCATGGTCATGATCACGGTCCCTTTCCCCTATTTTTCAAGGCTATTTTAGTTCCAGTGTGTTCATGATGTACTAAACAACAAGGAAATTCTAAAGGGAGCCATTTCTTCAAACCACATGTAGTAGCTTTGGTTTATCATGCTGCAGGCAATCTTGTGCTCCCTTCAGAATTTCGAACGTGGAAATGATATTCAGGTGCCGATTTATATGCAAATGTATTTCCATTTAATTGGTTAATTAATGAGTCACTTGGATAAAGGGGATGCAATCAATGAGAAACCTTTTCAGCAGTTAGAAGCCCAATTTCTCATTGCTCCACGGCCCAAAGTGCTGGTGTAAGAAAGAGGGTTTAACTTACCTATGGTGGGATCATGGTAGTCGGGGAACCGGTGGCTGATAAACTGCATTGTCATCGCTGGGGAAACAGAAAGAGATGGAAATGATGAGTCAATGATTAGCAGCTGTGATACGCAGCTCAGAAAAACCAAAACCAAGTAGTTTGCATTTCTGAATAACTGAAAAACAGAGTGCAGCCCTATGCAGGGATGGAGTTTTTTTGAAAATCTCAATGGCAGATTTTTTAAAAAAATCCTGACTCACACCTTGACCTTGATAAGAAGTGAGTTATATTCCCTCCTCAGCTCTGCACTTCGTTGATATATTTGTTATTGTACACATTTGTTTTCCTACAGTGCATGTTCTAGTTATCTCCCACTTGGACTATTGAAATGCACTCTACGTGGGGCTGCCTTTGAAGGTGACTCGGAAACTGCAATTAATCCAGAATGCAGCAGCTAGACTGGTGACTGGAAGTGGCCGCTGAGACCATATAACACTGGTCCTGAAAGATCTTCATTGGCTCCCAGTATGTTTCCAAGCACAATTCAAAGTGTTGGTGCTGACCTTTAAAGTCCTAAACAGCCTTGATCCTGTATACCTGAAGGAGCGTCTCCACCCCCATCATCCAGCCCAGATATTGAGGTCCAGCACCGAGGGCCTTCTGGCAGTTCCCTCGCTGCAAGAAGTGAAGTTACAGGGAACCAGGCAGAGGGCCTTCTCGGTAGTGATGCCTGCCCTGTGGAACGCCCTCCCAGCAGATGTCAAGGCAATAAACAACTATTTTATTTTTAAAAGACAACTGAAGGCGGGACTTCCGGGTTGGCGCCATCGCCGAATGGCGGACTCCCTCCGAGCTCCGGAGGGAGTCTGCTCGGCAGGGGCTGGGTCCTACCGCGCCGGCGACGCGGGGACCCTCAAAAACCATGGGCACGGAGCCCGTGGACATGGGGACTCGGCTGGTACCGTCAGCGCCCTCCCGACTCGTGAAGGAGCCTTTTTAAAGGCTACGGATCGGGTGCCAGGGAGCGGCGTGGTACTGTGAGTCTATCGCTTCCCCTGCCGAGCGCAGCCGCATGCCATTCGTCGGAGAGCGCTGGCTTCTTCCAATTGAAATTCGGACATTTAACAACAACCCGTGAGTAATTGGGTAACTGGGTACGAAAGGAGAAAAAAAGGAATTTTTTTCGGATTCGGCACGAGCGGGGGGGATCTAAAAAGGAAGTCAGTCCCCTCCCTGATTGTAAACATGCTAAAACAAGGACTGAGAAACCAAGATCAATTCAGAAGTTTATTGCTGACAAAAAATATCAAATTCCACGATGGAATCATTACAAGAATTGTGCTGGAGGAGAAAAGTCGAGGGTGAGAGGGAAAAGGCAACCCCCCCCTGGGAACCGGGGCGATTTGGAGAACCTGGCGGAGAGAGATGGAGAGTTTGACAGCTGTCAAAGTAGCTGTCAAATCTTGAGAATACAAAGAGGACTTTGCTACAAGTATTTTGCTGGTTAATTTTGATACAATTGGATATAAATATGGATACAAAATGTTGGGTGGAAAAAGAAACAACAACTTGACTTTTGGATGAGAGGACACAAAGTTATTGCAATCCCCCTAGAGGGGCTTTGGGACATTACAAGCGGCGTAAGTGGAAAACTACTCTGGGATGTGTACTGGTCTTAGCTCCTGGGAAAGTAGCAAAACTGAAATATCGTTTTGTCTACAGAGGTGACAACACAATAGAATCTTTCTATTGAAGTAAGCTAGGAACTGGACGTAAGTTTTTGTTCCTGAATAACAAACCTCTGTAGAGATACTAGATTTCAGAATAAGAATGGTTTTGCAGCTGAACAAGACAGAAACCTGAGAAAGTAAGAAACAAAAGAGTTAAGGACCAACTACGCCACGGAAAGAACAATGGGAGGAGCAACAATGACCAAGGGAAATTAAAGGCCTCGATTAGACTGGACTTTTGAAATTAAACATTATCAAAACAAGCAAATTTAAAGAAAACCGGCAAGATGGATTGAGAAAAATTTGGCTGTGGACTTGAGACCTCCAGGCCGACAACATACAGACTGATGGACATGGGGAATCCAAACCGGGGAAGGGAGGGGGAATTCTAGAATCCAAAGGCTATGTAACCAACTTTTGGAATCTTCTTCTATCTTCTATCTTTTATCTTTTTATATAACTTTGGTATTTTGATTTAACATGTTTTGGGAAAAAAAAGGGGGAACTCGTGGAAGGAAACGGGGTAGATCTTGGGGGGAAAATTTTTGTTCTATTTTGTTAAAGATGAGGAGTGACGTTAAGATTGTAATTTAAATTGGCTATTAGGCATAACATATTAGGTTTAAATTGGGAATGAGAACTTGTGGAACCAACGTAGGGAAAGGGGAATACAGTCGGGAGGGGAAGGAGGGAGTCCCAGAAAGAAGGTTATGAAAATAAGGGTTTAAAATTGGTCTTTTTTCTTTCTTTCTTTTCTTTATCTTTTCTATCTTTTCTATTCTGTTATTATTGGAAATTTTAATAAATATGATTATAAAAAAATAAAAATAAAAGACAACTGAAGGCGGCCCTGTTTAGGGAAGTTTTTAATGTCTGATGCTGTATTGTTTTTAATATTTGGTTGGCCCAGAGGGGCTGGGGAAACCCAGCAGATGGGCAGGGTATAAATAATAAATTATTATTATTATAAAGTGACCAGCACACATACATATTTCATGAATATCCATAAGTTGTCCAGACTGGAAATGAAAGAAGGTTGCAGACAAAATCTTCAGCCTAATGCTTCTCACTCCTGTTTTCAGTAACCTACAATACTGTATACTAGACTAGTGATGTTATGCAACCTCTGGAGCTGATTGGCTCAACTGACTGATGGGTATGATGATGTGGAATAGCCATGGATGTTCTAAATGGTCAGGAAGACAAGGGGGCCAGAATGTTTGCAATCCAGTTTCTACCAGAAAATAGAGGTGGGGGAATAATTTCTCTAGGATTAAGAACTTACACAGGTCCCAGAGTACAGGTGAGGAACCTTCTCCCCAACCCCTGCCAACCCCTATTCACTCAGGTAATCTGTCAGGGACAAAAGGTTCACAGAGGACAGAGTCAACACCAAAAGCCACCTACGCAGGGAGTTCCGAAGTGTAGGTACTGTCATGCTGGATTCTCTGCATTAGCAGAACAAACATCACATGGCATTGGGGAAATCACCAGTTCTGCATTTTATTAATAGTTTTGGATTGTTACTGTAACGATAATAAATTAAAAACCTTAAAAACAGACTGATGCAGAAATCTTGCCTTCAACAGATGTCACAGAGAAGAGCAAGTACAGTGGTACCTCGGGTTAAGAACTTAATTCATTCTGGAGGTCCGTTCTTAACCTGAAACTATTCTTAACCTGAGATACCACTTTAGCTAATGGGGCCTCCCGCTGTGGCCACACAATTTCTGTTCTCATCCTGAAGCAAAGGTCTTAACCCAAGGTACTCCTTCCGGGTTAGCGGAGTCTGTAACCTGAAGCGTCTGTAACCTGAAGCATCTGTAACCTGAAGCGTCTGTAACCCAAGGTACCACTGTATAGTTTATTTTTCAAGGATAGTAAAATCCATGTTAAATTGATGTTTTAGGGGTTGACTGGAACGGATTAATCCATTTTGCATTACTTTCTATGGGAAAGCACCCCTTGGTTTTGGAATGCTTTGGTTTTGGAACCGACTTCCGGAACGGATTAAGTTTGAGAACCAAGGTACCACTGTATTAGTTAATTTCACCATTTTTCCAAATGCACAGAAATTCCAATCACCCCTGCAGCTGGTGTGGTACAGTCCATTCTATCATCGTGGAGAACCTACCATTCATTCATCCCTCTGCAGGCCTCAGATGCCAGCAGGGCAAGACTATGAATATACAAGACTGTCGCTGCCTACTCACATCATTCAAAATGCATCTCATCTGTCTTCTTAGCTTTATTGCTGTCCCTTGTAGCACAACCCGCCCCCTTGCAATCAATAAAAACCCAGGTAGCATGGCGTGCTCACAAAGCGCGCATCGTTCAGCCTTTTGGTAGCCATCATTTATTATATATATGCACACGGTTATTGCGCCAAGTCTTTCTGATAGGAAATCAATGGGCAGGAGAAGAATCATCGCAAACTGCAGAGAAGTCCATCAGAAAGTTAAGGCATGAACTCCCACCTGGCTGCCCACGAGCACATTTGATACATTTTCTAAAAGTGAAGGGAACTCAACAGGGATTTCAACCCCAGAGCATCCCCAAAGTCGGTAGCTGTGATTGTTTAGAAGGTCACAAAGCTCTGGTGTCTAGGAGGCAAAAGCAGTGAGGATCCCAAAGCATTTTGTGCATTTCATTTTTTTAAAAAAACAGCATTGGCTTGAGCAGTTTATTTATTCTATTTTATTTTAATGTTTTCAGGCTGCCTTTCTGGGCAAAGCCCTCCCGATATGGCTTGCAGAGCAGGGAGAGCAAGCAAAAAGCAGTTACAATATTCAGTAAAATACAATTCAATGAAATACCATCATTATAATTAGCAGTTAAAAACATATACCCCACAATCCGGCTCAATGTTCATTTTTAAAAAAATTAAATAAAAAATCCAATGAAACCATCAGGAATTACGTGATTTAAAACCAGTAATAATATAGCCATGTAATAATCAGAAATTGATTATTATTAACAGCTGAAAGTAACTCAAAACTATTGATTTTTTGAGGGATGTTTAAAAGCTGTGAGGATTCTAACAGCTAAGAAGGCAGCTGTCTGAGGAATAACTGTCCTCTCCTCCTGGCCTAGATATTGTCACAGGATCTAATCTGGGTGTGGGAAGGAGAAGAGTTGGTGTTCTTTCTCAAGGGATAACAACCAAAACCATCACTGGCCACTGGATGTTTATGTAAGCCCTTCTGAGAGGCTAAAAGGTGACGAGTGCAATGAATAAATAAATCCCTGAACTGTACAAGGGGCAACGGTGGGACCACCATTGAGAAGACCTGTCCCTTATGTTCCCCAATCAGTATTAATTTGCACAAAAAAGCATTCTCCCTT